GTTAAGTAGGTCTTGGGGTCTGGCCTGGGAATTAGCATTCCTAACAAGTTCCCAGGAGCTCTGGTAGTGTAGTGCCTAAGGCATTTGACTGCTAACCAGAAGGCTAGCGGTTCAAACCCACCAGCCACTCCTCAAAGTAAGATTGGGCAATCTACTTCTGCAGTGATAGTGCCTCAGAAACCCAAGGTGGGGTCACTATGAGTCGGATCTGACTCCATGGTAGTGAGTTTGGTTTTGGTTTTAATAAGTTCCCAGGTCATATTGATGCTGCTGGTCTGGTGACGACACTATGAGAACTAGTACCATACCAATACTCTTCACGATTTCACACTTTATTTGTACTTTGCCTACGAATACAAATAGTCCAGAATTATTTTCTGCACATCTGTCTGTCTTCCCAGCCTGATCTCAAATTAGTTTTGGGCAGGGGTTGTGTATTATATATTTTCCTCCCACATCAGTTAGCACATTGCTGGGCATACTTACACTTTGGGAAGAACTTTAGATGTTTTGTTTTCTTCAAGTAGACAGGGGTCAATTATAGCTAATTTTAGCATTCCCATATTTTGCAAATGATCACCTAATTTATTCTCATAGTTCACACTCATGGAAAGAAAAATCTTAATTTGCTTCAGTAATATCCCAATCTCATTAAAGAAAAGACTCAGTCTTTAGTTAGGAAAAAAAAAAAAACAACCGAAAGAGTTCATTCCTTCATCCTTCCAAACAAGGTACAGTACAAGTGAGTAACAATATACATTACTGGGGAAACACAACTGCATTTTATATTGCTCACTACTCTTTAAATAACTATAATTCAGATATTAAGGAAAAGAACTGCTAATCACATTAATACATTACAGAAATCAAAATTAATTTACCACACAAAATAAATTAAAACATTAAATATTAACCTTTTCAGTGCAACATATACAGAAGTCAGAGTAACAAGTTCTTTAAAAAAAAAAGCATCAGGTTTGTTATAATAAAGATAATGGAAAAGTTGAACATTTTGTAAGTTATTACACTAGGAAGAGGGATTGCTTTTCAGTACTGTGTATCTGTGTGTGTGTACACCAATAGATCTTTCAGAAAGCCTGGTCAAATCAGTGGCTAGAGAGAACAAGGTCTTATGTTAGAACATTAAAAACAAACATGGGTGTTTGCTTTGTTTCTGTATTGTGCCCTTGGTCCCCTGGGCCTCTGAGTCATCTCTTATCATTCCCGCTCTTTGGCTGGGCAAGTTGGGAAGACCAAAGCCCAGTCCCTACTAAGGGCTTGGGGTCCCCTGAGCTGTGTTTGAGCCTAGTCGGATCCTGTCAATATTGCCTGGAAAAGCAACCTCTGGCACATGTGCACAAGACAACCTGTATAACGCAGCTTGCCGATGCCAGGCAGTTTTCTCCACCCGCAGGAAGCAGTCTCCAAGATGCTCTAGAACCAAAAATCCTTTCTTAGCACAAAGGATTCTGAAGCCACTGTGCCCACTTCCTCTGCTGGGACCCAAGTACAAGCTCATCCCTTGTGTGGGTCCACGGGTGTCCAACGTGGGCCCTGTCTTTCAGATCAGGGCTGGTTGCTGTAGATCTACCCTGCTAGAAGAAAGTGTTTCCTACTAGAATGTATAAAGAAATCACAGCCTGTAAAGTAGTGGGAGAATCTAGGCTCTGTAATGGATTTGGAGGCCTTTTTTCTCATGGTGACTTTTCATTGTCTCCTGAGACACTGGAAATGGCCGTGTCCCCACTGCAAGGTGTGCGGCTGCTGACCAGGTCAGGTCTTCAGAATGATTCCCTAATCATCATGAATACTCAACTTTCTAAAGAGCAAGGAAACACGGGGAATCTGCAGAGATGAATTAGAAAATGCACCTTTTAACCCTAAAAGGGAGCATTTTTACAGCTATCCAAAACAAGTGCCACTGTCAGGAAATGGCACAGGAATCCAAGTTAGTTGGCTATTGGATTTGAAAAGAGAAATCACCAAAGAAGGCTCATATCCTGGGGTACGGCTGCAAGTCCAAAAGGACTGCCTTGGCCCCAGCCTCTTCTTCTAACCCTTTTCAGACCCACTGGCTTACAAAGAACTGACTTGGAAGACACTCCTTGGGAGACACCCATCTGAGGATGGGTATGCAGGCACAAAGTGGGAGGTACCACAGCTGTGACTGTTGAACACCAGGACCAGAGCCTTGACAAACACTAAACATAAAGTCTCTGCACAGAAGCAAGAATGTTCCCTCTGCTTCCATCATTTTCCCATCATCAATTTCCCTCACCTCAGCAAAGGCTCTTGGATGCCAATAACTGATATGCCTTTAGGCTGGACACGGATCATTCCATCCATTAGGTGAAGAAAGCTCACATCCACAAAACACTATCACATTAGTTCATGCTTTGAGAGGCAATTAGAGCTCAAGTAGCCTCTAAAAGACTGATGAAAGATTTTTCTAAAGTAAAAATGTATGTGAACTCAAAATATGAGGGATACTGCTTCATTTTCCAGCATCTCACACTCTCAGGACAACCACCTGAAAACCAGTGTCAATTTGATTGAGCTCTGAAGATGCTACAGTCAAGCCTTAGCTCACTTATCTGCTACTGTGGAACTGGCTCAAGAAGTGCAAACATTTACAATTAAACCTGGGTGCTGTGTCAGACTGTTGGAGACACCAGCTTGTGAACAGATGAAGTTCCTACTCTTAGTACTTTAGAGGCAGCACTGTTCCACAAAAGTGCCAAAGATAAGACAAGAATCACATAACTGTCTTAATTCTCAAACACAAAAGGTTCACAGGAATAGACAGACTGGGGAAGAATTATTGAGGCGAGGATAGCATTTTCTGACAGAAATTTCAAGCCAACTTGACAAATTTTAAAAGTCCCTTTCATGATGTGAGGAGCTAGATGCACTGAAGGGTTAATAGGTAGAAATCTTCCATATTTCTAATACTAGTGATTAAACAGTATCCTCACATAAGGAGAAGTTTTCATTATTAATTTCACTGTAATTCTGAATTAAATTTTAATGAAAATTCCAGGGCTTCGAACCAGTTCATTCAAGTTCAATCCCCTGCTGAGAATTTGCATTTCCACCCCAGATATGCTCAGTGGAAAAACAAAAACAAACTCACTGCCATCTAGTAGGTCCTGACTCACAGCAATCCCTCTTTGGGTTTCTGAGGCAGTATCTCTATGGAAGTAGATTGCCCCATCTTCCTTCTGAGGAGTGGCTGGTGGGTTTGAACCGCCAGCCTTCTGGTTAGCAGTCAAATGCCTCAGGCACTACACCAGAAAGAATCTATAGTTTTTTAACAAGATCCTCAGTTATGAGAATCACCTTGTTTAATCTTGTTAAAACGTAGAATGAACTGTTTCAAAGCCCTGGAAAATTCTTAGGAATGAGATACCCACTATTTATTTGGAGGAACCTATTGTTTCTCACATGCAGGCCAGAGGGCCCGGGGAGGCCCAAAGGGTTAAGAGGTTCTCAGATGTTCAGGAGACAATTTTCCTCCTTCTCTGAGGAGTAAGCAAGACTGACCCAGCAGAGAAGGCTTGTTAGAACTTTTGTTAATAAAACCAGCATCCTGAATGAAAAGAGCAAATCACTGGAATATTTCTCCAAATGCTTAAAAATAAATAAGGAAAGTTAAATTTCTCCCTTTAAAAATAAAGCAACAAACCAACCAAGCAACAAAATGGAAAATAAATGATTGGTTCTCTCTTTCATGGATTCAGCCTGAAATGCCCACGGCTCTCTGCTAATGCTCCATTTTATGCACACTCTCTCAGAGGACTTACTAGGAAGTTAATCAAACCAGTTGCTGTTGAGTCAATCCTGACTCATGGCAACCCCATGTGTGTCAGAGTAGAACTGTGCTCCATAGGGTTTTCAGTGGCTGATTTTTTTTTTGAAAGTAGATCACCAGGCCTTTCTTCTGAGGGGCCTCTGGGTAAACTTGAACTGCCAACCTTTCGGACAGCAGCTGGCTGTATTACCTGTTTGCACCACCCATGGACTCCTAGGAAGTTAGCACTATGTTTCATAACTGCACAGTGTAGTACGACAAATTCCTTCTGCTGTTTTACTACCCAGAACACATCCTGGGGCTTTACCTGCTTATCATATATTAAATAAAATGACCCCTGAACTCCAATCTTTGTTCCCATCAATAACTCATTCTCTGATTGCATTTTTGTACCCCTGGGTGCCTTTTCCCAAGACTCAGCTGTCCTGAAGAGACTGGACATTTACTAATCAGTGTAACTGCAATACATACATCACTAACATAGAAGTCTGAGGTTTTTTTTTTTTTTTTTTTTATGCTTTTTACATTGGCTTAAGAGATAAAAAATAGAATCATTATCCATCTAATAAATAAGACCATCTCCTAGGGTAAGAACAGCTTGGGAAGGTCTTCAATATCTCCAGTCTGTGGAAGACAAAGGTCAGGTTGAGGGTCTGATGACAGAAGACCCAGATCCTCTTAAACTGGGCATCTTCCCGTGACAGTGAGGAGTCACCGTTTCTCCATCTTCCTCCCCAGTAAACTGACGAGAAAAACCTATAACAAGTACAGGAATCTCTGGTGTTGGGCAGGATTCTGTTATGAGCAGATGGTCCCATTCAAAAGCAGCACAGTCCAGGGTCCATGATGGGTAGAGACAACGGCACACAACTGGATGAAACACAGACCAACGCACACCCCTGGTCTACGTAAACAGGGTGTCCATCCCTTTGCAGGTTTCGTTTTGGCCCAGTTTTTACATCATGGTCCGCTGATTTCTTTTCTACATCACACTGAATAACCCCAAGCAGACAGAGTTCCTGATAGAGTTTTGAAGGCCCCAAAAGACAAAAGGCTGCCCAGGCGATCTCAGGCAAAGAAAGAAGGATCTGCTGGCCTATTCCAGGCATCCCTTGCAGGGGCTATCCTGAAGAAGTCTTTCTTCTCAGGTGGCTGTAGTCCACCTGGCTGAACTCCTCTTCTGGGCTCCTTAGACCACTGAGGGGAAGGAAAAACAGGTTAATCACTGTGGCCAGACCCCAGCCTTGCTGGGAAAACAAGCTGGGGACAGAAACTTGGAGATGGCATCAGCCATCACCAGGCTCTCTCGGGGAGTCAGGCCTGAGTCCAAATTCTGCTGGTTCAATAGCAGAGAAGCAGCTTCTGAAACTGTGCTGTCAGTGCCCAGGGAAGCCAGAAAGGCTGACTGAAGTGAAATGAGCTGAAGCAGAAGAGAATGAGATGAGGTGCACCCTTAATTCAATTGGAGATGGATGGTTCAACCCAGCCTGTGGTCAGCTCTGCTGCAAGGGGTTGTTTGGTGGACAATTCATGAGCTGGTGCAGGGTTCTGGCAGCAAATTTCCTCCCTCTAAGGCCTGGTGGCATAGTGCCTAAGGCATTTGACTGCTAACCAGAAAGCTGGCGGTTCAAACCCACCAGCCACTCCTCAGAAGGAAGACTGGGCAATCTACTTCCACAGAGATACCACCTTGGAAACCCCAGGAGGGGTCACACTATGAGTTAAATTGACTTGACGGCAGTAAGTTTGGTTTAAAGCTATGTAAGAATGGACCCACTTATTTTTCATTGGGTGTGGTTTTTAGGTTATCTTCTGGGACTATCAGGGTGAAGCAGCACGGACACACTCCTTAGCATCTCCCCAGTTGAGCTCAGCCTGGACTCTTCCTGCCATGGTCCTTCCTGCGGTTTCCCTCAAGAAGGGAATGGGAGTGTCCTGGCCCAGGGGCAGTCATGGTTGGGCTGCTCCAACAAGGCTCACGTGTGAGCACCTGGTTCACCCAGCCTTAGGTCTAGGACGTCTGCCTAGTACTACATTAGGTTGTGGAAGTCCTCATTGTCTGGAGGACAGGGGCCATATCTGAAAGGCTAGATTTATCTCCAAGCTCAAAACTAACCTTTGTTCAAATGTAGGTGGAAGAAAAGTGACAGTAACAAGAAACTCAATAGTCCATCCCAAACAACCGTGGTGAGGTATAGACAAATGCCACAAAGCCTACTACAAATTTTCTTTAAAAATTTAAACAAATCTATTCTATTGGTGCTAAAAAACAAAGTATTTACCTTTATTAGCTCAATGTACTCCCCCCTTCCCTTGCCCCATTAGTGGAAGAGATATATGGGTGGGGCCTTCAGAGGTCCAGTTCCATCCCCATTCCCAACTCACAGTGCAACCCAAGCAGGCCATCGGCTAACTCAGTTTCCTGACATCATTCACAAATCATTCTTTTAAGCCATTATGAAGATTAATGGATTACCATCCTCAAGAGTTGGGCTACCAGGATCAACAGGCCTGCTCATGCACAATTATTATGACTACTGAAATGAAGAACAAATAAATGGTGTTCCTTGGCCTTCAGCTCCCTCCATGTCAGATTACCATGCGGTTCAATGACCATGTGAGGGGTTCCAGCTTCCCAATCACCTCACTCCCTACCCTTGCCATGCACCCTTGAGCTTTTGGAATGTCAACCATTTGTTAGAGAAGAACACCCCAGTGGACACCAGCCTCTTATAATAATCTCTTGCCCCATTACTTCCTTAAAAGGAATTTTAAGTTTATGATGGACACTTGGTCAAAATAGCATCCTAGACAGTCTTGTTGTTGTGAGTGAGAGTTTCAGGGCTTGTCTGGATAAAGGAGCTACTCAACTCCATGATCCCAGAGCCAGTGGTGCTCAGATAAGGGTTTCTGAGGTACAAGTTTGGCTCCACAACCACATGACTAATATCTTTCCATGGGTGTTAGTGATGATCTTCATATAAAAAAATGGTAAACTTACTGAAGATCCTAGGATCTAGGAGTTAGAAGGGTCCTTACAGATCTCTATAGGCCAAATCCCTCATTTTACTGATGAGAAAGGGAAGTGACTTTCCCAAGGGAAGAAGAATGAACATCTGTTGTGTACATACAATTCGTCACACAATATGATAAGTATTTTATTGTGTGATGAAATTTTATTATACTAGTATGGTAGCATAGTGGCTAAGGCACTTGACTGCTAACCAGAAGGCTGGCGGTTCAAACCCACCAGCCACTCCTCGCAAGGAAGGTTGGGCAATCCTACCTCCGTAGTGATACTGCCTCGGGAACCCAAGGAGGGGTCACTATGAGTCAGGGCTGACTCGATGGCACATAACAACAACAACAACAGTATTCATGCAATTTACACAGTGATCTTCCTTAACAGTACGAAAACTGAGACCCAGAGAGTAACTTGTCAAAGGTCACACGGTCATCAACAAGGACAAAAAAGCTCTGGGCTACGTAAAACACACCTTAGTAAACTAAACCTGACTTGAGAGGATAAAATAGCCTCCTCTTTATTTTTTTCCCTCCTCCTGCTTCATCTTCCAGGAACTTCTGACTGAGAAAATGGTCATTTTCTTCACTCAACAGTGCCTCCAATGGGAGGAAAAGGATCCCCTTCAGCACAGGCCCTTACCTGTTTCTGAGTGGCAGCAGGCAGTCCTTCCCTTCAGGAGAGCACTGGGCTTCTCCTGCCGGCAGATGAGGGCGCGGCACCACTCACAGTGCTTTCGGACTTGGCAGCAGCTGCAAAGAAGCAGGGAACGTGGTCTGGGCAGGGGGCCTGGCAGGCATGCCCGGCTGGTGCAAGTGTGCTTGAGTGGCCTGCTGGGAAGCTCTTCGCTCTATACCAGCCTTCTGTGGGGACCTTCAGAGAAGGCACAGCAGGCAGCTGGGGCAGTGGCTCTTTGGGGCAGACCCTAGTCAACAAAACAAAAGTACCTATTTGCTGCCCTGAAGTGCCAGCTACGGTTCTGCAGTTCTGCTCTGGGCTCTAGCTTCCCCAGATGTTACAGGTTACCAGCCATCCACCCAGCTGCTTCCTTGATAAAGAACAAATTGGCTAACTCCACATATGCAATAGGAGCTCAGAACTACTGTTAAGACTGGGACAAAGCAGCTGCCTCAGGCTGGCAGGCTGTGAGGGCTCAGGTATTGCCAGGAGCAAAGCTGGGGACTCAGGCTGAAGTGACCCATGAAGAGATTAGGGACTGAGTCAAGCATCTCAATAGCTCTGCATCCTAAACCCCTTCTCTGAGGACTGAAATTCTCTGGTTGTGGAAAAGCCAGCTTCTCAGTGAGCCTGTGTTGCCTGAGGACTACAGAATCAGTCATACACATGCTTGCCTCCCTCTGTGGGCAGGAATGAACACTTTTCAGAGTTAACATGAAAAAAGAATGAGGGAACTCAGAGAAAAGCAGGAGACCATGCAGACATCAATGACCTAGACAGACACTGATGGCCGCTTCCCTTGGGATAGCCTGTGTCCACTATCCTGACCTTGATGTATATATAACCCATACAGCCATGGACTGGGGCTGACATGAGCCCAGGGACAGGGATGAGGCAATGAACCTATTTCTATGCCTGGATGCCATTTCACAATGCCCACCCAGCCCCTCCTGCTTGGCCAGGCCCTGGAATGCAAAGCTGGGAAGGTTACTGGGAACACTGATCTTTGGGCAGCAGAACTGAGAAGGGGCCCTGAGACTCTCCTGCCCAGCCTGCTTCTCTTTTGGGTAGAAAATGAGAGCCTAGAGCATTGTGCCTGTGGGTAGAACTCTCCTGAGTGGTAGAGTCCAGGCTGGAACCAGTTTATTCCATGACAGAGCACCTAGATGCTTTCACTTCACATGCTGGAGGGACCTAGAAGTCCTGACCTTATGCTGGTGGAATCTAGAAAGAAGCCTTGATCCCAGCTTCCAGACGTGCCCACACTCACTGCTAGGGGGACTCTCCCAGGATGTCTGACCATTACACAGCCTGGCTACCACTCCACGCCAAGAGCCATCAAAGTTCCTCTTAGCTTTGCTGAAACCAAACAGACATCCCAGCAACAAGCTGTGCTAAGGTGGCTCTGTTATCTGGGTATGTCACAGATGCCCCTGGCCGCGGTAAGCGGGCAGAGCACCTGGTCTTAGGGGCAGCCAAGTACTCACTGAATCAGCACACACGTGATGATGAGGACAGCCAGGGCCACGATGGAGACTACGACCAAGGCAGTGATGGCCTGTTTCTTCTGGCTGGCGGCCACCACAGCCAGGAGGTCTGCGTGTTCACAGCGCGCTCCGACATACCCAGAATGGCAGCTGGGGAGGGAAGACACATCAGCATGCTTTCAAGACAGAAGGTCTTACTCCTTCAACTCCCCAGGGTGGGCTGGGCTAGAGAGGCCCAAAGGCCACACGAAGAGCCCTGGGGGCTCCGCTTTTGTTGTTGTTGTTATGTGCCGTCGAGTCAGCCCTGACTCATAGCGACCCCTCCTTGGGTTTCCGAGGCAGTATCACTACGGAAGTAGGATTGCCCAACCTTCCTTCCGAGGAGTGGCTGGTGGGTTTGAACCGCCAGCCTTCTGGTTAGCAGTCAAGTGCCTTAGCCACTATGCTACCAGAGCTCCCATAGCCTTTGCTATTTGAGGCAAAGGTATCAGCAAAATGATTGCTACTTTGCTGCCACGGGCACCTCTGGCTTGGAGAATTTTATGTGTCATTGAGTTGAATCTGACTCACAGCAACCCTACAGGATAAAGTAGAAGTGCCCCATAGGGTTTCCTAGGCTATAATCTCTACAGGACCAGATTGCCAGGTCTTTTTTTCCACGGAGTGGCTGGTAGGTTTGAACTGCTGGCCTGTCAATTAGCAGCTGAGAGTTTAACCACTGAACCACCAGGGCTCCTCAGGTCACTACGAGTGGGAACTGACTGGACAGCACCTAACACCAACAATCAGCTTCATTATCCGAGGATGAGAAGTGCTGCCGAAGCACTTTTTTTTATTATTGTTACTATGCCCAGTCCTGAGGGAATAAAGAAGGCAGGAAACATGTTTATGACACTAAGTTCATTTTGGCAGTTCATAAAATTTAGGTTATTTTTAAACCAAATGTGTGTATTCAGAATTTCTGATGATGAAAGGAAACACGAGAAGCCAGCTGGAGACATCAACTGTGCTTTGCTTTTTTAATTTCTTCATCCAGTTTAATTAGTTCTGTAGTTTCTGTTGAGTGCCTCCATAAATGCGGGCCTGCACTGAAGACGGGCACTAATCTCCTGCGAACCGGATTTGCTCATTTCCAGTAACATCTGGACTACCTCCATCACAAGACTGGTAAGAGCACAACAGATATCAAGTATGTGAAGGTCCTTGCAGCTTATGAAGATGCCGTGCCAACACAAAACCAAAAAACCATACTCAATGCCATCAAGTAGATTCTGATTCATAGTGACCCCCTTTGGGTTTCCAAGGTGGTCAATTTTTACGGGAAGTGGATTGCCCAGTCTTCCTTCCAAGGAGTGGCTGGTGGGTTTGAACCAGGAACCTTCTGGTTAGCAGCCAAATGCCTTAGGCACTACGCCACCAGAGCTCCTTTGTGCCAACACAAAAGGACATTATTACTGACATTGCTAATATTCAGAGGCTCTTAGGCATCAAATGTTTAGATCACAGCTCCCTGCTATACAGTGAGAGCTGATGATGTTTCTTCCATCTAGTTCTTGCTTAGAGCTGCCCCCCACCCTCACCCTGATCCTGGGGCAGCCTAATGGTTCTCCCGTGACCTTCTGGTCATGTCCTAGCCATAAGGAAGTGATGGTCATTTTCTGAAGCAGGCATACTTTTCCCTCAAGTGATGATTCCTCTCAACAGAAGATACTTAGCCTCACACTGGTTCCTTTATATGGAGTGATGGGGGTGGATCTCTTTTCTATTGTCCATAAAAATATCAGAGTACACCTTTTCCTCAGGAGAAGGGGCCTCCTTCCCATAGGGACCCCTAGAAGCAGCCTCCAACTGACCAGCCAGTTTAAGTATACAAAGAAATAGAAGCTAGATTAAATTTTTCCCCAGGTAAAGATTTTTTTTTTTTTTTTTTTTAAGAGTCAATCTGTGTGTCTACCTTTTGACTAAGTAGTCAACCTGTCATCTTTATTTTTAGAGGAAAAGGTCTTTGAAGAGAAAGGGAAGATGAGGGATTAATGTTCCTTGTGTGGGTGCTACTGTGCAGGGCCTGCCCTGGGTGCATGATATTTTTACTGTCTTAAACCTGTGCTTCTGGTCTGCCAGATCCTAGATGCCAGGAGGGTACCTGAAGCCACAGGAGAAGCACGATATGTTTTCCTGGAGCATATATTTTGCCCAATGTTAAAAAAAAAATGAATCATTCTAATGTTAGAACAACAAGGACTTCATTGGCTTCAGAATTATGACAAATAGGAGATGGAAAAAATTGTAGTTCAAGGCTACAAGCTGGGACCCTGGGCATACAAGCTTTCTCTGTCTTTAATATTGCTTAATGGAAAAGCCTTCTAAGGACTCTCTTTATCCCAAAGACCATTTATTATGATCCTCTGGGAGCTCTGGTGGCATAGGGCCTAAGGCATCTGACTGCTAACCAGAAGGCTGGCAGTTCAAACCCACCAGCCACTCCTCGGAAGGAAGACTGGGCAATCTACTTCCACAGTGATGTTGTTGTTGTTGTTGTGTGCCGTTGAGTCAGACCCTATCCATAGCGACCCCTCCTTGGGTTTCCGAGGCAGTTATCACTACGGAAGTAGACTGCCCCATGTTCCTTCCGGTTCCACAGTGATACTGCCTTGGAAACCCAAGGAGGGGTCACTACGAGTTGGATCTGACTCGACAGCAATGAGTTTGGTTTTATTTGAAGGCTTTTTTTTTTTTTTTTTTAAAGTCTGAATCCAGGCACCTATTTTTCTATTAAAGGTTATTTCCTGCTTGGTATGCATTCTTGAATATATCCCTCCTGAATTTAGAGATCATCTAAAGAATAGATTTGATGCATTGAACACCAATGACCAAAAACCAGATGAATTATGGGAAGATATCAAGAACATTATCCATGAAGAAAGCAAGAGATCACTAAAAAGACAAGAAGAGAAGAGAAGACCAAAGTGGATGACAGAAGAGACTCTGAACTTTGCCCTTGAGTGGAGAATAGCTAAAGCAAATGGAAGAAATGAAAAGGTAAAAGAGCTGAACAGAAGATTTCAAAGAGCAGCTCAAGTAGGCAAAGCCAATTACTAGAATGAAATGTGCAAAGACCTGGAGTCTGAAAACCAAAAAGGAAGAACACACTTAGCATTTCTCAAACTGAAAGAACTGAAGAAAAAATTTAAGCCTCGAGTTGCAATATTGAGAGATTCTATGGGCAAAATATTGAATGATGCAGGAAACATCAAGAGAAGATGGCAGGAATACACAGAGTCACTGTACCAAAAAGAACTGATCGATCTTCATCCATTTCAGGAAGTGGCATATGATCTAGAACCAATGGTAATGAAGGAAGAAGTCAAAGCTGCAATGAAAGAACTGGCGAAGAACAAGGCTCCGGGAATTGATGGCATACCGATTGAGATATTTCAACAAACCAATGCCCCATTGGAGGCACTCACTCAGTTATGCCAAGAGATTTGGAAGACAGCTACCTGGGCAACTGACTGGAAGAGATCCATATTTGTGCCCATTCCAAAGAAAGGTGATTCCACAGAATGTAGAAATTATAGAACAATTTCATTAATATCGTACGCAAGTAAGATCTTACTGAAGATAATTCAGAAACGTTTGCAGCAGTATATTGACAGAGAACTTCCAGAGGTTCAAGCCGGATTCAGAAGAGGATGTGGAACAAGGGATATCATAGCTGTTGTCAGATGGATCTTGGCTCAAGGCAGAGAATACCAGAAAGATGTTTACTTGTGTTTCATTGACTATGCAAAGGCATTTGATTGTGTGGATCATGACAAATTATGGATAACATTGAGAAGAATGGGAATTCCCGAGCACTTGATTGTACTCATGAGGAATCTGTACCTTGACCAGGAGGCTGTCGTTCAAACAGAACAAGGGGACACTACATGGTTTAAAATCAAGAAGGGAGTGCATCAGGGTTGTATCCTTTCTCCACACTTATTCAATCTATATGCCAAACAAATAATCCGAGAAGCTGGACTATATGAAGAAAAATGTGGTATCAGGATTGGAGGAAGAATCATTAACAACCTGAGATATGCAGATGATACAACTTTGCTTGTTGAAAGTGAGGAAGACTTAAGGCACCTACTGATGAAGGTTGAAGAATACAGTCTGCAGCGGTATGGATTACGTCTCAATATAAAGAAAACAAAAATCCTCACAACTGGACCAATGAGCAGCATCACAATAAATGGAGAGAAGATTGAGGTTGTCAAAGAATTCACGTTGCTTGGTTCTACAATCAATGCCAACGGAAGGAATAGTCAGGACATTAGACGACGTGTAGCATTGGGAAAGTCAACTGCGAAGGAACTGTTTCAAGTGTTGAGAAGCAAGGATATCTCCTTGAGGACTAAGGTGCGCCTGACACAAGCCATGATATTTCCAATCGCCTCGTATGCATGTGAGAGCTGGACAATGAATAAGGAAGACCAAAGAAGAGTTGATGCTTTTGAGTTGTGGTGCTGGCGAAGAATGCTGAAAGTACCATGGACTGCTAAAAGAACTAACAGATCTGTCCTGGAGGAAGTGCAGCCAGAATGCTCCTTGGAAGCAAGAATGGCCAGACTTCGTCTCACCTATTTTGGTCATGTTGTAAGAAAGGACCATTCCCTGGAGAAGGATGTCATGCTTGGTAGGGTGGAGGGTCGACGAAAGAGGGGGAGGCCTTCAACGAGATGGATTGATACGGTGGCTGCGATGATGGGCTCAAGTATAGCAGGGATTGTGGGGCTGGCGCGGGATCGGGCAGTGTTCCGTTCTGCTGTGCATGGGGTCGCTATGAGTCGGAAATGACTCGACGGCACTTAACAACAACAACAACATGCATTCTCTGAATTAATCCTCAACCAGAGCTGTCATGTGCCTGCACTCACCCTGCTAGGGGCTAGTGATAGGTTTAAACCCAGGCTTGTCGGCCTCAGAGTCTGGCTTTAACAAAGCAATGCTAGGAACTCCAAGAAATCCCGTTAGGGAAAATAATGGCAGCCAAGCACTAATAACAACACGTATCATTTCTTGCATCCTTGCTACAGACCAGGCACTATAACGAACTCCTACAGGAATTTGCTCATTTAATTCCAACAATAACAACTTCCATGTGA